GAGCAAGGTTTTCACCCTAACTTCAGTTTTAATCACTTAAAAGACTTTATAGAATCATAGAATAGTTAGGGTTGGAAAGGACCTTAAGATCATCTAGTTCCAACCCCCCCTGCCATGGGCAGGGACACCTCACACTAAACCATGTCTCCCAAGGCCTCGTCCAACCTGGTCTTGAACACTGCCAGGGATGGAGCATTCACAACCTCCCTGAGCAACCCATTCCAGTGCCTCACCACCCTTACAGGAAAGAACTTCTTCCTTATATCCAATCTAAACTTCCCCTGTTTAAGTTTGAACCCATTACCCCTTGTCCTATCACTACAGTCCCTAATGAAGAGTCCCTCCCCAGCATCCCTATAGGCCCCCTTCAGATACTGGAAGGCTGCTATGAGGTCTCCACACAGCCTTCTCTTCTCCAGGCTGAACAGCCCCAACTTCCTCAGCCTATATGCACACAGGAGGTGCTCCAGTCCCCTGATCATCCTCGTGGCCCTTCTCTGGACTTGTTCCAACAATTCCATGTCCTTTCTATGTTGAGGACACCAGAACTGCACACAATACTCCAGGTGAGGGCTCACAAGAGCAGAGTAGAGGGGCAGGATCACCTCCTTCGACCTGCTGGTCACGCTCCTTTTGATGCAGCCCAGGATACGGTTGGCTTTCTGGGATGCAAGCACACACTGAAGCCGGCTCATGTTCATTTTCTCATCAACCAACACCCCCAAGTTCCTGTCCACAGGGCTGTTCTGAATTTCTTCTCTGCCCAACCTGTAGCTGTGCCTGGGATTGCTCCGACCCAGGTGTAGGACCTTGCACTTGGCATGGTTAAGCCTCATGAGGTTGGCATCAGCCCACCTCACAAGTGTGTCAAGGTCCCTCTGGATGGCATTCCTTCCCTCCAGGGTATCAACCGAACCACACAGCTTGGTGTCATCGGCAAACTTGCTGAGGGCGCACTCAATCCCACTGTCCATGTCAGCAGCAAAGATGCTGAACAAGACCGGTCCCAACACCGATCCCTGAGGGGCACCACTCATTACTGGTCTCCAGCTGGACATTGAGCCATTGACCACAACTCTTTGTGTGCAGCCATCCAGCCAGTTCTTTATCCACCAAGTGGTCCATCCATCAAATTGATGTCTCTCCAATTTAGAGAGAAGGATGTCGTGTGGGACAGTGTTGAACGCTTTACACAAGTCCAGGTAGATGACATCAACTGCTCTACCCCTGTCCATCAGTTCTGTAGCCCCATCACAGAAGGCCACCAAATTGGTCAGGCAGGATTTCCCCTTAGTGAAGCCATGCTGGCTGTCACCAAGCACCTTGTTGATTTTCATGTGCCTTAGCATGCCTTCCACGAGAATCTGCTCCAAGATTTTGCTGGCACAGAGGTGAGACTGACTGGTCTGTAGTTCCCCGGGTCATCCATCTTCCCCTTCTTGAAAATGGGGGTTATATTTCCCTTTTTCCAGTCATCGGGAACTTCACCTGACTGCCATGATTTCTCAAATATGATGGACAGTGGCTTCGCAACTTCACTTGCCAGCTCTTTCAGGACCCGCGGATGGATTTCATCAGGTCCCATGGACTTGTGCACGTTCAGATTTTTAAGATGGTCTCAAACCAGATCCTGTCCTACAGTGGGCCCAAGGTCTTCATTCTCACAGTCCCTGCGTCTGCCTTCCAAAACTTGGGTGGTGTGGTCAGAGCCTTTGCCAGTGAAGACTGAGGCAAAGAAGTCATTGAGAACCTCAGCCTTCTCCAAATCCAGGCTAGCCAGTTCTCCTGATAGCTTCCAGAGAGGGCCTTAGTCTGTCTTTTATTTGCAGTGTAACTATAGAATCCCTTCCTGTTATCTTTCACATCCCTAGCCAAGTTTAATTCTAACTGGACCTAACCTGGTCCCTAGCTTCCCAGACAGCATCCCTGTATTCTTCCCATGCCGCCTGTCCTTGCTTCCACCTTTTATAAGCCTTTTTAAAATTATTTTTATATTATTTTATTTAATTTATAAATAAACTTGGAAGTTTCTCAGTTTACTTGAAAGAGATACCTTAGTTGAGCCTATATTTTAATTTTAGAGTAATCTGATTGATTTAAGTCTGCATCACTACTGTCAGAACTAAGAATTCAGGGTTTGGTGTTGATGCTGCATTCTTTATAAAACTGGACAATCATTTTTGGCTATGCTTGTGATATTCTTGATGAAAGGAAACACGTTCCTTCGTTTATAATTTTGCTGGAAAAACAAATGAAGCAAGACAGTTTGAAAATGTTTTATTTCAACACATAATTTGTTCCTTAGCAATTTCTTCATGTTCATTACTATTGGTTGTTTGCTTTCAGAATTAATTTTGATAAAGCACCATCATATTGCAATCATACAGGATTGGCCACAACAGATTAATATTGAGTCAATCTTTTACTTTTCTAGCTTCAGTGATTCTAATGATTGTTAACAAAAATTCAGTGACAAAAATTCCCGGTAGTCATTTTACAGATAAATACAGAGCCTCCTGGTTCATACCTGATAGTAATACCATCTTTCTAGAGTCTCTTAACATATTCTATAGATGGTATTTTAATGTCTAATATAGACAGTTGCAAGTATTTTATGTACATTATTAATAGAATTTTTCCAGTGGAAAGTGTCAGAAATATGTCTATATCTAAAAATATGCAATTGTGTGCTTTAGGAAATTAAACCCAATGAGTTATCTTTATATCATGAATATTAATTTTTGTCTTTGTCATGCGCCAAGCCCCACAATCAGGCTGGAACTGTAGGGTGTGTAAGTCTATCTCTGCCTTTTTGAATTGGAAGGTTCATTTAATCTTGCCCCCAGAAAATAATTTCTTATGACGATGTCTGGCCATGGCTTTAAAGGGAAGCTCATACAGCTTTTCTGTCCCAGAACAATAGCATACTTCAAAATTGCTGATTGCTGGCCATGAAAAGGGAACATTAAACTGTATTTTCTTTCTTAATCTAGTGGCCTCTGCTAAGTGACTTTTTGAGGCTTTGCACTTGGATAACTTTCACTTTTGTGCATTTACAGTTGTATTTACTTGTTAATCATAGTTCTTGCAGTTCCCTGATGTTAACTAAGACTATGTAAATGATTAAATAAGGACAATAATAGTGTGTCTTATAAAAAATGAATCATCTCCCCTTGTTGGAAAGACCTTGCATAAGTGAGAGAGCTCATGCTCTTTCACAATCATTTCCTCACACAACCATTTCTCATACAATAGTTTGTGTGGGGAAAATATCATCTTAGGCTTGAAAGGAATAGACATTGTCTTCTTGAAAAGGCTGAGAGAAGAAAGTGAAAAACTGATGAGCTAGAGAATTTCTAAAACTGCCATACAAATAAAGTGTTTATCCCATTTCTAAGCTTTCCCATTTCTAGCAAATGCACTGAGGTAATTCCAAGAATTTCTGAACAGTTAGAGATAAAACACAGTAAATAAAAGATGGGAAAAAATGGTGAATTATTTGCGGGGAATTTTTAAGTAAAGTAGCTGAGACAGTTTTTACAAAACTCTCTGGACAACCTTCCTCTGTTCTCAGAGATTTATATAGGATAAATAGAACAAATATTGCTCTGGATGTTTATTTATCTGTGGAACTTCTCCACACAAAAAGTAATGATACCCTTTCATTGGCATCATCCAATAATAATTTTCTTCTGACTGCGTCGTAGGGGTAATAACAAACTTTCAATTATTTGAATGAGTAATGTATTTTTGTCATTCTGCACAAAAAGTGACTCATTAAAATACATGCCTCCTATTTGTTTCAGCACAAATCTCAATATCAATAAACTGTTGTGGATTTAACTGCAGAATTGTACCAAAGAAGTGACACAAGTTCTAAGAGACTAGTTATTTCCTCAGTTTTCTTAATATATTTGTAATTATGCAATTAATGTGTTCTAATAAAATTTTAATCACTCTTCCACACTACAAGCATACATTAGAAGGCAAAGAAAGTAACAGGGTGACACGCAAGGTTTACCCGAACTCCTCCAAAGTTTAATTGCATGGTACTCATCATTCAGCAAATTAGCCTTGAGAGGTCACTGTTGCTCATACAGGACAGAATTGTTAATGCTAAGATACTACGTAGAAAAATAATTCAGTTATGTGGCTACTACTGGGCTTTTTACTCTATAATACCGTCTTATCTTTACATGTAAAGACTTTTTCATATGATGCAGTAGAAGGTTGAGTGAAATTGTTCGTAGTGAAAATGTAAACTTTATTCATTCAAATCATTACTTTAATTAACTAATATAACATAGTACAATAACATGATATGTATTCATTAGAGTACTCTGATTAGATTGCTGCTTCTTATAATGTTTTATCACTAACGTGAAATACATTACAATGTTGATCTTTTCATTAAGCCAGTATCTTTAAAAGCTAAAGATCTAGGAAGTTGTACAGGAAGTTAACTGTGTGTCTGTTTATTGAACTTGATTTACTTCATTGAGCTTTTGATATCATCAGATAAAATATGAAGATCAAAGAAATTTCCTGCCTAAGGGAGAAAGTGAACTGCATATTAACTTTCTCATGCTACCAATGGGACTTCTTGTAAACCAACCAATAGAATAACTGCATTGCAGAGGCATGAATCTTTGGAATTAGACTTGCAGAAGAGCTGCAGTCATTGGTTATAGCTTCTTTCAGAACAAATTCCCTTTTCTGTGACTGTGAGCTGTTAGGATGCCCATTTTACTCTGACTTTATTTGCATTTGAGCTCATGATAAAATCAGGCTTTCAAAGCTGTTGTAAACAGTTCTCTTTTTGCTTACTCATTTAAAATACAAGTGGTAGAACTTATCTTACATAAAAAATTGAATTCACTGATTTATTCTCTTCAGAAGTTAAATTACATTCTGCCAATAATGTGAAGTCATACCTCATCTGTTTGCAATGATAGCTCTCACAAACTCTATCATACTATGCTACTCTATCATATCTAGATTTGATAGCTTTGTGACTGAACAGTATCTAACCCTGTGAGAAATTCTGGTTAAATCGGTGGGACCATTTGCAGAAACCATTTTAGGGTGGCATGTCATGTATGAACAAAACCATATAGGATTAGTTTAAAATTAGTTTCATGATAAACCACTTCAAAACCTTTTTTCCTCTCAGTATTTTAGATAGGGGCAATTTTGTACTTTTTGGCTATGAAGGTTATTTTCCAATTTGCTTTGAGCCACATACTTATACAGTTAAAACACTGATGCGGCAAACATTTAAGCATATACTTATTTTTTCCTAGTGACAAAATACCTTATATACTGACTAAAAGTGTAAAAGCATTTACAAGATTTGGGCCTTATTTGGATTTCTGGAAATCTTTTTACACTCCTCCAAACACTTTGAGCAGCCTTTTTATTGAGCAAACTATGCCTGCAAGGCTACAAAGGAAACCCAAAGTAAAAACAGAGATATCTGCACATTTCTCTAAGAAGGATAGTTTTTTCCATTTAAGTTTTAAATGGAAGAGGGAAGGAAGAAGAAAAGTCATAGCAGCACCTGTTACACTGCCTGTTAAACCCATCAACATGGCAAAATGCGGTACAAACACGGCCATCATCAGAGTTAACAGGAGAAATAAGCCTCTTACACCCAGAGAAAATAGTAGAGATCTGTATTTGGAACGGTTTTCTCTAGCAATACAAGCATACACAATTTCTGTGGCTGCAAAAAAGGGCAAAGGGTAAGAAAGAAGAGCCTTGGCTAAGAGACACAAATTCACTAGGGTTTCAAGAAATGATGGCAGGTTGTCAGTAATAATTTCCTTTGTCTCTTCACCCCAGGTCAAGAATGCTGTCAGTGCAAAGGTTGTTTTCAAGACACAAGCAAAAAGGTGAGTCCAATTCAGCATACAACTAAATTCCCCTGGGTTTTTCATGTTACCTTCAAGTGTGGGAAGGAATATTTGTGAAGTGTAACTGAAAATGATCAGCCCTACAGAGACCAGGAAGTCCTCAAACTCAATGGAGAGTCTGAATTTTGCCCAGGACCACTGATGTATTTGTGTGAGACAGTAAGTCATTACTACAAGTATTATAATGAAATGGACCAGGGAGCAAAGCTGGCTGAGTTTGGAAACAATTTTGAGAGTTTTGATAAATACACAAGGCAGCAGTGTAACAAATGCAATTACAGACCAAGTTTTCTCAGTCACTGGTACATGTGGAAAACTATATGACAGCAAGTTCGCACTGACAACCAGATACAAAATACATGTCATGATTAGTTCCATCACCTGGGTTACGTTGACAACTATGCCACCTAGTTTGGGAGGTAGCCTTTTACAGCAGGCATTTGCAATATCTTCATTTGTGTCTCTCACTCTTATCAGTTGCCCATCTTCATTTTCTTCATACAGGCAAGCGATTAGAATCTTGCCTGTGTAACAGCATAGTGCTGCAGCCAAGATAATAAGAAACAGGCCACTGTATCCACTGTGGAGAAGAGCATACGGCAATCCTAGGACAAATATTCCCTGAAGAAGAAAAAGAAAAGATAGCACAAAATCTCTGAAGCAGAATGTTCACTAGAAGGTGCACTCCCAAACCTGACCTCCACTGAACATTGCTTTTACCTAACTGCATGGTGGAAGTACTACTACATTCAGCTAAGTAAGTAACAATCATAAGAAATGTGTTTATTAATGATAAATGAAATTATCAGGAAAAAGGACTGTTCCTATAAACCCACATATAATGATAAACTAGGAAAAAGAGAATGTGCCTGAATGATATAGTTAGGTTCCTAGTTAACATTTAACACTAGTGTGATTAGAAGCACAATTTAGAAGGTTCATAGGCAGTTATTCAGTCAACATGCATATTAATGAAACAGGTTCAATATCCATAAAATTAAGCAACTGTAGCAGCATTTGTACAAGTTTCATTCAAATCAAAAATAGTATTTGTCCTGTTTTCAACAGGGATAGAGATAGTTTTCTTCCCAGTAGCTGGTGCGGAGATGTGTTTTGGCTTTAGTCTGAGAACAATGCTGATAACACACCCATGTTTTAGCTGTTGCTAAGTGGCGCTTACTCTGATCAAGGACTTCTCAGTCTCATGCTCTGTCAGTGAGGAGGGACACGGGAAGCTGGGAGGAAGCAGAGACAGGACACCTGACCCAAACTGACCAAAGAGGTATTCCATACCTCAGCACGTGATACCCAGTATATAAACTGGGGGCAGTTGGCCAGAAGCCTCCAATTGGTGCTTGGGAATGAGATGGGTATCGGTCAGTAGGTAGTGAGCAAGTGTATAGTGCATCATTTGTGTTCCCTGAATTTTGTTCCTCATTCTCTCTTTTTCCTGTATTTTTGTTGTTATTGTTGTTGTTATTCTCATTATGATTAAACTATTCTTATCCTGACCTGTGGGTTTTATCTTTTTCCGATCTCCTCCCCATCCCACTGAGGGGGGAGGAGGGAGTGGCTGCATAGTACTTAGTAGCTGGCTGGAGTTAAACTACAGCAGCACTGTTGATAAATACAGTAATGACAGTTGTCTTCTGTCTAAAAAGTTTTAACAGACCTCTGGAAAAAAATTGCCATTAGAATGACATCACAGTTTGCTTGTGTTTCCTCTGCGGTTTCTGTATGCCACATGCAACCTTTGCTCTTGCTAAGTATATTACTAAGGTGATTCTTCTCACAGCTGAGATTCTGGACTGTTTAACTTATTTAGGTGTTTAAATATACATATACATATATATACATGTATACATATATGTATATATACATATATATACATAAATATACATATATATACATATAAAACATATAGACATAATTTTCACTAAACAGTTTCTGAAAGAAACAGGATTATACTTGTTTTATCCAGTAAAAAAAAAAAATTGGCATTTTAGTTTCACAGAACACTGTATTTCTTTGGGTTTTTTTTTTCCCCTCTTTCTTCTCTGTATTTAAGGACAAATGACACTTTTATGTGGTTTCATTTCCATCAGCACAAGACCAACAAAACTCTTGAACAATAGCTATTCAAAAAAGTTCTAATTTAAGAAAGATGCTTCTGTGACATTTCTGAGAACTGAAATTAAGCAATACAAATTAATCAGACTGGTCAGGTTATGTTTTGCTCTTGGTGACTGAAGAAAGGTAGGGTGGAAGCAAAATACAGTTAACTAGTTCTACAGAAGTTTTAACCTCAATATTTCTTACAGCACCAATGACATGATGAAATATGAGCATTTGTGCTTGTGTTTCCTATTCCAGCCTGGCAGCTGACTTGATTTGGATCAAAACCATTCAAACTCTGTCTTTTTTTCTGACCAAACCTGAGCAGCCCCATCTCCTCTGCAAAACCCAAGAATCCCTGTCAGAAACAGGCCCCCTCGTAGAAGGGGCAACATACTCTTCTCCAACTTCCTGAGTGGGTAGTGCCACTGACTGCTTTCAGGAGCCCAAGCAGAAGAGGTGAGTTTAATGGTCCAAATCTTCACTGAAGAATTTTCCATCCATAACTGTGGACACAAGGCCATGCAGCAAACAAGTGTTTCAGGCATGCCTCTGTCTTTGGTGTTTTCTGTCAACTTCCCCAGGTTTTGTATCCAGCAGACAGTTTCTGTGAGGACAGTCTAGGAGCCCATCTCTGGTGGAGCTCATCAAGAAGGAAGGTGTTTGTCTTAGCTTTGTAGATTTTATAGCTTGCACCCCACTTCTAAGTGATACAAAGAATCCCAAGCCTCACCCATAAGGAGGGCTCTGAAAAGAAGCAATTTTTCAAACACTAGATAATCACTGATGAGTACGAAGTATTACCCTATTCTTCCAGCCACAGAATAGCAGTGCTTTCCAGGCAGACTGAGGGATGAGCATCAGTCAGAAAAGAAAGATCAGAAATCCTTAAATTAAAACAGTATTTTTTTCTTGAAGTCAGTGAGAAAAATGGAATGCCCATCACATGAATGAGCAGCATTGCCTGTTTCATCCAGGCTTCACTCTAGATGCAGATATCTTCAGCTTTCAGCTGAATTAGAGCTGCAAGAATCATACTAAATACATGCCCTAGTATATTTTGATCAAAAAGTCTATGCCTTTATGTACTGAAAAAAAGTACCTCAGTTATTATTGCTGATATAATAATGAAGATACTGATTAGATATCTATTTTGGTTGTTTTCAAGGACTTCGTTTACAGAAATGCTTTTCTAGCAGGTCACAGTCACAGGTGCCATTTCATTTAGGAGCTGGGATATTTACCTACACAGCTTGAATCACCCAAATCTCCTCACTGCTTAGGTCCACTCCAATGCAGGTCTCATGACCCAATTAGCTTGCAGTGTAATTAGCCTTTCTTTTGACATGTACTTCATAGAAGTGTTCAAAATTCAACCTTTCTGCCATCTAGCAATCTACTTTGTTAAAAAGACAAGATATGTGGCTGTATCCAGACTGCAGGTAGCATACATGTGGCAGCAGCTTTTGATATCATGCCATTTTTAATCATGATTTTCACTGACTGACCTAGAGAACAGAACATGATTTATTTCCTATGAAAACATTCTTTGGAAAACATTTACATAACAGACTGAGTTTAAAAGCATCACAAATAAAACAAGTCTATGAAGGAATCAGGAAGATAAAAGCCACAGAGTAATCTTCCATATTAACATAAGAACAGCGATGTTTTCTCAATTTCTTGCAGGTTGTAGCAAGCTTATGTTATTTGTTCTGTACTCGCAGCATTATTATTTTTCCCCTTAACCTGCATTTGGGAGTTCAAATGGTATCTCTTGACCCAAAGGGTCACTGTATAATTAAACTGCAGCAAAGTGTCAGCATAAGCCTTACCCATACAGTGGCTTACTCCCCTGCTGAATTTAGTCTATTAATGTTTATAAGACTACCCTCAACTTAAACTAAAGCATAAGTCTTCCAGAGACAATATCAGAGACAGCCATTTACAGTCCTCCCCACAGGTGTCTGCTTTTTCATGCTTAATTTTCAGTTTAATCAGAGCATAACATAATTCTAACCTCTGACATTTCCTTACTGTCCTTTATCACAGCTCAGCTTGAGAAGTGTGTTATTTGTCATCACTCCATCCATACACGTATAAGAAGGGACCCTCAGGCTTGCCCAGCAGGCTGTATCATCCTTTGTCTTCCAAGACGTTTGCAAGACATGAGTATTTTACCTCTAGACTAAGGATGGAAGCAGACTGTTCTTTGTCAATGAATGGATACATGCGCCTGGGTGGAGGTGCTTATCAAACATCCAGAGTAGTCTTCACCACAGGTAGCTGGGCCTAGAAAGAAGAAAGGGCTGAGGGCTAAAGTAGTGACCAGGCTTTGAAGAAAAGTCAGGGACAACAGCAGAAAGGGCATGTAAGGAAAGGTCAGTCTCAGCTAGAAGCTATTTATTATCCTTGTCAAAATAGCCCCAAGCAGAAACCACCAGGTACAGAAGCTACCACCGGAAATTACCAATCCACCTACAATACAAAGCAAGCAGATAAGGATTTCAAACTTACATCTGCACATTAAAACATTCTGGCATTTGTTAATGGCTTGACTGTAATAATTGAACTACGTGGGAGTGTTTCCCACAGTAGCAAGGCTGGCTGCCTGTTTAAAAACACCAGTTATCTGGATTAGTGTAGAATGCAAAAAGTGGGCCTTCTGCCATAATGTCAGTCTTTGACGCTACTTTACCTCAGGGCAAGCACCTCCCCAGGGAATAAAATGTGTTTAGAAAAATGCATAAATTAGCACTTCCAAACACTCTGAGATGATATAAAAAATCCATAATGTTCAGTTTTAAGTAGTTTTTTACTTTCTTTAGTTCTTTAGTACCAGGTAAAAAGCTTCATTTATAGGCTGTTTTAACCTGTAATGAGACTTTGGAAAACAAAGCTGATTGAAAGGTAATTAAAAAATAAAGATCAAATCATAGTCAGAGTTGAGACATTCTAAAAGACAATAAAATAAAATTAAGTAAAAAGCAATACTAAAAAAAACAAGAGAAACATTTCACCTTAAGACTTACTCATATGGGAAAATAAGAAATTAAGAAGAATTTAACTGAAAATTATTCAGTTAGTACAGCTCTCCAATATGCAGAACACATGCTAATATGCCAGACTGCTGAATTAGCTCTGATTGCTTTTCTCACCATCTGTAGTTACTCTACTAGAACAGTTCATTTAAGCCTGTTTTCCCAACTCTGTATTGGATTCTCTGCATGAACATGGGTTAAGCATATAAACTATACCAGAAATCCTCCTTCATGGATCTTCTTGGAAGAGTAGGGAGATAAATTAAAAAACCCTGCTTCACAGTACAGTTCCACAAAATAATTTTCTTGTTTAGCATTTCTTATAATTTAAAATAAATAATTTTCTTGAACTGATGCAGGTCTGTGTTGGTGTAGTATTTATGTGAAGATACGACTTTATCATCACTAGATTAAAAATACAGCAAATCCCTTAATCTTATGTCACAATAACATAACTACTTGCTT